ATATATATATATATATATATTGGGAGAGGGAAGTATAGGAGACAATTATCATTCTTGTCTAATTTGCTGAAGCACCACTGCTATGTCTTATGAGGTCATTACACCATGTTATCTGTATATTGTTTTAGGACACTGGTACCCACTTCACATCCAATGAAGGCCAATAATAAATTTGCAGCACCACAGGCCAGGCTCAGACTTACACATGATCAAATGTTAACAGAAGAATGCAAGAGAAACTATATACATTATATATGCAGGGTGTCCCAGGAGGAAAGGTCAATATTCTGGAAGGTCATAGTATCAGTCATTCTAACCAAAAAGTGTATAAGTACATGTCCTATTCTGAATGGTTTCCGAGATAGAGCTATGGATGTTATCGCCCACATAAAGGAACATCAAGATGCACTCAGATGAGCAACATGCCATGTCCTCACAGGAGATGCAAAGTGCACTGATGTTGACGGCGGAATTTTTGAAAAAGTATTACACTACGTAAACTGCACCAACTTTGCTACTTGAACAATACATACTGGTATTAGAAACAGTATGTAATATTACCTTCTTATCAACAGTTTTGGAGCTGTACAATGAAATAGCTCTATGTTGGAAACTGTTCTGAACAGGACATTTATAATTTTTTGCTAATACTCTGACCTCCTAGAATCTTGACCTTTCATCCTGGGACACCCTGTATAATTATACATGATTTGAAGCTTTTACAACAGTATACAGTGAAGTCTTCTTGAGTGAGCAGCCCTGTGGTACTCCACATTTCAGAGACTGTCTCCATCTTCATCATTAAAGGTGGAAGTGAGTTGCATTGTATTCACGCACTACATTTATAGAAAAAACTCCTGCACATCCAAGACTGGATCATGTGGGGCACAGTCACTCAGTCACCTGAATGCATTATGCCAGTCACTGGTGTCAGGGTGTAGCCAGATCTCAGCGGACCAAAAACAAAAGGGGCTAGATTAATTTTAACTGTAAAAGACCATGTTAAAATGCACTTACAATTAAATTCACAATCAGAAAAACTGCATATTTTGATTACTGACCAGAGAGATAAAAGTGATACCAGTTCTTGTGGACATTTCAGTTTAATGGGTTGGGTGCTAGATATCTATATTTCTAAGAAACCAGTCCATAATAGATTCTTATCAAACTGACCTTACTCTTCAGAATGGCATTCATCCGCAAACTTGATTCACAGCTGAATGACTCTGGGAAGCATTTCTTTGGCATCAGCCCATGCTTGTTTATTAGATTGACTACCATGTCCCACTGCCCGCCATCATTTATTGGGTCCTGGAACAGACTCATACTGTGAACACTATGTATCACAGTAAACAGAATGCACAGTGACTGCTGAGCAACCAACTCTTGAGGTTTTGCTAACCAACCAACTAAATAACTAACTCCAGAGAGCAGAGTACTTGAAATGATAATAGTTGGTCAGATAGTCAAAAAAATTCCCAGAATTTTACAGAAACCAAAAACTCATTCTGTTCACAAGAGCACACCACAGGCCTATGTTCTGGGCCTGACAAGTACAGCCCACACTCTCAAAGCCTGTTTCTTTATGATCCATTTAGTACTACCCTCCTATCCACACCTAGGTCTTCCAAATGGTGTTTTTCCTCAGGCTCTCATACCAAAAATTAGTATGCACTGCTCCTCTCTTGTACATGCTACATGACCCACCAAATCTCATATTTGCTCATTTATCTCCCAAATTATGAAGCGCTTCATTTTGAAAACTTTCCCGTCCTCATATTACTTCCTCTCGGGTCCACTTATTCCCCATAGGACCCTGCTCTCAAACACTCTTAGTCTATGTGAGGTTTGAGGCCCTTACGGTGGTGAATATGAAGTTTACTGTCCCCATACTTGGTCTATGTTCTTTCCTTAATGTCACAGACCAAGTTTCACACCCAGAGAACAACAGAAAGTTAGCCTAAACTAACTTCAAATCAACACAATTACTCCTGAGCAAATGTTTCAGTTTGAACACACCCAAACAGACCCATATTATTTCATGTCACACAGGCAGTGTCAGTTGGTCAGGCTGAAGAAATTAAATGTGAAAACATAAATGAACTTAACAAAATCTGAACAATACAGAACATATCTATCGGTAATCTCAAGACTTGACGTTGCAGGCAACTCAAGTCTCACACAGCAGATTCTTGTATCCAAATTATGGTATTCGAATCAAACCTGAAATGTCAGATTACATTTTGAACACACATTAACCGGGAATTTGCAAATAAAAATGGCAACACTTCTCAGATAGAAGTGAAAGCAGATCAAAAAGCTGCAGACAGACATTCCAAGACATTTACATAGTGGCCACTCAGCACCAGTAGCCAAGGTCTCTATAGCAATTATCACGTAACTTTGAACAAGGCCAGGCGTAACCTTGAATGCGCAGAAGAAAAATTTCAGACAAGGGGGTGGGTTCGAGGGAAGAACGAGTGTTAAGAAACTCCTCCCAGCACAAGCTATGCGCAGGATTTGACTAGGAATGTGGGGCCTTGTTCGAAGTTATGTGACATTGTCTATACCAGCAAATCAATACTATACACTGCCGCAGAATGTTAAAGCCACACCACATCATGATACATGTGAAACACCTGAGTAGCACCTGACAGTACTACACTGCTCTGAAGAAGGGCAACGGTGACATTATACTCACATGAAGCAAGAACGAAACCAGTCTCCCATCCACACGATCCCCCGCCTGTGCAGCTTTCACCATATTCGTAAGGAAATAGTTGCAACGTTCAATCTGAAAGAAAAAATGGTAAAGCAAAACACCTCTCAACACTTCAAGCAATTTTTCTTTCACTGCATATTTAATTTCATGATGTTGCCTCACCTTATCCCAAAAGAACAAATATGCTTGACTAAATTCAAATTCTTCTAGGTCATATTCCTTTATAAATGGTATGCGTATAACATTAAGGGTCGCAAATATCCAGCAACGGCCTGAATTTTTTTGATTTGTTATAGGCTTTGCTTCTGTTTCAATCTGCAATGAAGAAATGAATAAATAACATAATCAGAAGAACTGAGATGATGGCTATCATGAAGAAATCTATCTTATGGGATATAATCCACTGAAAGTCAACTGACGTTTTGAAGGGAAATGCCCTCCACCTGAGTAGCAAGCAGAGTTATATCGCAGAAGACAGAACTGTTCACAATGACTGCTGTGAGAACCTCACACCATACAATCTCTATCATATCTGTAGGATTGCAAATGTATTTCATACCTTATGAGTAAAAACATGTTGCGTTTCTTCTAGATGTTTTCGTGACATACAGACATCAAGGGGATCTACACGTGTACACACATTTTGAGCTAGAATATTTTTGGTGTCAGCATAGAAGCTGTTGCGGAACTTCTGCAGGGTCTCTGCACTTAACGAAGCTGTAAAAATCAGAACACAAACAACACGTAGTTTGATTTGAGGACTATGGTGAGACTGCCCTTCTGGGATATGATACCATGTTCAATGATGTTTCAGAAGAAAATACTGCCTCCATCCTCAGGGCCAAAATCTAAGACAAGCAAAGAGCAAGCAACAAAAGGAGACAGACTCTGATTGCTTCTTGCTGGTTGCATGCTTGGCTTAGTCTTTGATCTTGAAGGAGAAGGCAGGAAATTCCTCAAAAAGTCATGAACTTCCACCAGACTTCATGGCATCACATCCCAAAACATGGTATTCTTCAAATGATACAATTAATGCTGTCTGAATGTGCAGAATATCAGTACAGAATTCCAAGGTCTGTCTTCACCTGGCTCCTTCAGGCTTCTCGGGAACAACAAGGTAGAATCACACAGTGCAATGACATGTGACTTTAGACAATACAGTCATCACTTTTATGGACAGATCTGCCAGTATGCATGAACTGTTGGCCACTACACATACCAGCTGCAGAAAAGCATTGACCACATGACAACTACTACCAAAATACCAAATATATTTTCCTCTTAAATGTAAAAAGTAAAGCTGTCCCTGTGCTTAACTAATTAAGCACTATGCCATGAAGATTTATGAGGGAAGTGGATGTATAGACCCACATTTTTTTGATCTCAACACCTGTTGGAAGTGAGTGGTCAGCTTCACGCCCCGGCCGCTTTACCCCCAAGAAAGAGCCCCCAGTACCCATTGTACAGGAGGTTCGGTGGACCCTAGAGCTGGTCTGGATGACATGGAGAAAAGAAAAGTCTTGACCTTCTTGGGACTCGAACTCCGACCCCTCAGTCATCCAGCCTGTAGCCAGTTGCTATACCAACTGAGCTATCCTGGCTTGGAATCAGTTAGGATGAGGGGACACAAGCAAGGCATACAGAAATTTGATGGTGAAGCATCTTAACAAAACGCCACTTTGAGCTCAAGAAGGATTTGGTAAGATAACATAAGACTGAATCTTCGGGAAGATGGCTGTAAGACTATGAGATGGATGGAAATGGCTCAGGTGATGTCTAATGGAGGGCTTCAGGACTGGCACAGTTCAACTGTCAAGTTCTAGTAAACAAACAAGTTAATCTAATTAAGTCTAACACAACACTGAATTAAAACTGTATGCAGAAATATAAAAATATCTCTAAATAACACAAGAAAAATTTGTTTTAACTTTCTGCTAGTACATCAACATTTTTCAGTAAACACTGAATGTATGTGAAAATAATGTGGAAATAAACACACATACTTATCAACCTATGAATGGAGGACAGTTTCAAAGAAATACATATATAAACACTTTTAAACACAAGATGTAAATATGACCTTCATATACCAAATGCTACTACCCTCACTCAAAATCATGGAGGAGTATACTGTACAGGTATCTAGTAATTCGATAATCTTCCACCTACAATTAAAAGCTTAGATCTTGATATGAAAATATTCAAGCCTACATTAAAAGAATCCTTCTACTCTGAAAAATTTTAATCTTTACATGTGAAACATGATTTTTTTTGCACTTCTCTTATAAATTAAAATGAACAACCTTCTCTACAAAATGAAATGCTTACACTCCGCACCCACAGACAGTTTACAGTAAAGAGCTCTTTCTCATAAATTTATATGACAAGGAAATGATTAACACAGTGTCGACCAAGGTTGGTGTAGTGGCAACGCTTTAGAGTTGTATTAAGGATCTACTAGGTACCGGCTATCCTAATGTTTCTCTGGTTTTCCTCAGTACCTCCTGACAAATATCAGATCTGGACTACAACAGTTTCCTTCCCTATCATTTCCACTTCACGATTCACGCCTCATCTTACTATTCGATGATGTCTGGTCTAGACTTTGGGAGAATAGAACATAATGTAATCAAGTATTGAATTGTGAATCATTACGTAATTCTCGATGTATACTCCTACATTTTAATTACTCTTATACATAAACCGACAGTCATTACCAGATGAGTCACATGACATTGATTTTACTATTAATTATACATAGTAATTTCAGTTTTTAAAAATTAAAACATTCACTATTTTAAAACACGGAGTTTGCTTGGTCTGGTGAGTTGTATATAACAATACGTTTATTTTAATACTTGACAAGTTAAAAGCTAATAACTCAAACTTACCTGCAAAAGCCATCTTGACACATATATCACTATTTGCACCCATTGCAGGGTGGCCAAGTGTGGCAGATTAAAAGTATCTGCCCCTCTTTCCTACAGGAAGTTTACTTTCCTTGTGTGCGATTTGACCTTCTCACGGCGGTAACTACAAAAGCTGCTGGGATACACGCAGACATGAACCGCCACATATGGAATTCTTTTGAGTTTCTCATATACTATTACATTTGAGAAAACAGCGGGATGGTGATAAAGATCTCTGTCGGGACTGTGGCCGATTTACATGCTTTCACCACCTCTCTAAATACGGAGAGGTTTTATATGTGAGACTTTTGTGACAACAAGAAGGTCGGTTTCGACATTTTAAGGAATTTACGCATATTTGGACCCGGGATATGAAGAAACGGCTTTTGGAATATCATCGTTCAGTCCATTGTATGTGGCCCTTGCTAACGTCTAACTGGTTGAACGAATTTTATTCATATTTGGCATGAAAGAGTTGATTCATCATAGATCGGTGCCCAGTTCATATGGAAATGTTTGCTTCTATAGTATGATCCCTTCAGATGGACCCCAAAAAACAAAATGGCAACCTTGTCTAAAACGGCCATTTCGTTCTCCTGTGCCCTTTACCCAGCCAGGGCTATGGAGAGCCCTAATGTATATGTACAAAAAAATACAGTCATTCACCACAACTTCTGGTATTGGCATCTGCAGATCTTTGGAACAGTTCCACTATTTAGTGATCCATAGCAATTATGTCCTTTGTCTGTCATCTCAGAGCAACAATGTCTTAAGTACCCTTCTACTGCACCCTGAAAGTGTGAATTGTGACTACAATGCCATGGCTTCTTCAGCTTGCTGTAAATATTATAAACACAAACACTATTAGTTAATGAAAACCTTGAAGGAAGGAAGGGTCATATCGCCACATTGAACAGATAAATAATAACAGTGAAACTATTTCCATCATTAACCAGAGCAGCATAATTTACTGAAATAAATTTGAGGAATGCTCTTGATCTTGAGCTGCCAGATACACCCGTGAAACTAGAAAAAATATAATGAAATTATATATGCAGCAAGGGGAAATAGGAACATGTATGCATAATGATGTACTTTCTTTTTACATACTGAACAATATTCACGATTTCTATTTGGATGGAACTTAAAAAGAACTGAGAAACAAAAACCATACTTTATGGCTTTAATATGGGTGACATTCATTTAGCCGTCACCTCTCATTAAGTGTTCCTTCTTACCACATTTAATGAGAGAGCAGTCTTTCTTATACCAGACATTTTAGTTGGTACTTCTGCACATCTTCTCACATACAGTAAAACACACGTGGGAACATCCCACATACTAACACGCGGTTTCGCTGGTCTAACAGACAGTACTCACTCATAGACAAATCGCTTAATGTTGTGTATGGAAATAATAATTCTGATAAACATAAGAAACACACAAATGTATATACATACACATTCAGTGGGCATAATTCAGTTTCTTAGAGTGTTAAAGCATGTGGTACATATATTAACCACCATTCTACAAATTTTAACCCTTTGAATCCGGAAGTTCATTTAAATAATGTTTATAAATTTAGTTCCTGTGTTCTATGTTCTGTTCTCTACTGCATAATGAGGAGCTTCATAACTTATACTCTTCTCCAAGTATAATTAGAATGATCAAGTCAAGGAGGATGAGGCGGGCAGGGCATGTAGCACGAATGGCAGAGACAAGGAATGCGTATAGGATATTGGTGAGAAAGCCAGAAGGGAAGATACCACAGGGAAGACCAAGGCATAGGTGGGCAGACAATATTAGAATGGTTCTTAGAGAGATAGGATGGGATGGTATGGATTGGATAGATCTGGCTCAGGATAGGGACCAGAGGAGGGCTCTTGTGAACACGGTAATGAACCTTCGGGTTCCATAAAATGCTGGGAAATTCTTGAGTAGCTGCAGAATTGGCGGCTCCTCCAGAAGGGCTCAGCTCCAAGAGTAAGTAAGTAATGTTCTGAGACTTTCCATCATTTTGAAAGTGCTGCTATCAACTGCTGACTTCTTGGGCCTGTCACAGCTTTCCTGGAGCCCCATTACCTACCGCTTTAAGGGCTCCTGTTGGGTCCCCTCAGCTGTCATGGCAATACTGTGCATCTGGCCCCGAACATTAGGTCACCCTTCCCCTTGACAAAAATTCAAAAAGGAAAGAAGGTAAGAAGAAAGAGGGAACTGGAGACTTTTCATCGATCAACCTATATAAAGCAGCAGCAGCAAACAACAAGTAGTAGTAGGTGGTGGCAGTAGTAGTAGTAGTAGTAGTGGTACATCATACAAAACATCCTGCATCTCCATTACAAAGACCAACCAGTTAAAGTTGTTTATGGAAATGATCACCATTTATTGTGAGAATTATATGAATCACATAAATATAGTGAGTTTCTTTTCTTAATGTTGAAGAAAATAATTTGTGCACATAGCACATATTTTCTCAAATAGTTGCAAAAATTATTAGCAGATGGTAGCACACAAAATGACAAATGATGCATTACTGAAACAAGGAAAAAAATACCATTGTTCATATATTTCCATCCACCTGCAGAGGAAAATTTGTAGTGTCAATCATAACACATCAGTCTCTGGAATGGATGAAAAGATATGGGTGGAAACTGGAAAAGTTTGGCACAACTTAAAAAATTGTTAACAGTCCTTGTTAGAGAACAAAACAATCATCAACAATACCAAACTTTTACTAATACAGTGAGTCAATGGAATTGTCTTACATGTTTTGGTCCTATATGACCATCTTCAGAGGCTCATGTAATAAAATGAGATTATTTACATGTACATTTAAAATTATATATAAAAGTCTAGCACCCAAGTCACCAACATCTGCCCCAGAACATCATCAACACAAACAGTAGCAAGGGATTTAAGAAAAACTAGCAACAAGCACTACTCAACCTTTGACATGAACTATACATAAAACCAAATTAATAACATATCCTAGAAGGAATAAGTACAACAACCATCACAGCTTCTTCCTGTATTCAGAAGAAATGTATATAACACAATTTTTAGATTCTTAAATATAATGTTAAATGTATAAGTAAGAAATCACCTTCCAATTATATGAGCCACTGAAGATGAGTATACAGGACCGAAACATGTAGGGTGATCATATGCACTTAACATTTTAGCAAAGGTATATTAGGCTTGATGGTTGTCTTGTTCTGTAACAACTACAATACATTGTCACTAATACTGTTTCAGTTAACTTGCATTATTACATTCAAAAACAAGTACAACTGCTGAGCCTTCTATCAATGAATACACGTACTGTCTCAACAGTTCTTAAATAAAGACTTTTTTATTTATTTTTATCAGCACTACTTCTATCATTAAACTTTCCATTTACTTGCCTTCTCTAAGATTTTTTGGCTTTCAGGGCTACCTTTGGTTTCACTAATCTAGATTATCACTCTATCCGGGTGACCGCTCCCACCAAATTAAATGAGATCAGCAAGGGTTTACTGAAATATAAAGTGTAATAGTTGAGAAGATTCACTATAAAGCAGTTCTTGGTACAATTTTCCTATTGCACAATCTTCAGTGTACTGACACAACAAACTTATATTAACAAATAACAGAATTTTATGACAGTTACTGAAACCCAAATGTGCATCTCTTGTGAGGCAGCAAGCATGAGTTCTACCAGTCTGGCCTGCACCAAACGTGACCCAACACACCTTACACATGATGGATCTTTTGTCTCAATGAGATACACAAACACAGAGGACAGAGAATCATATCAGATCTGCAGGCTTGGGGTCACAATTCACTCCATTCCTATCAAGATTAGCAGCAGCACACAGGACTCTTGTTAGGTCCTCCATGGTGACTGGCAGATCTCGTCCCTTCTGTGTTATCTCAGCTAAGCGTGCTGCTAGAACATGCTTGCAGGTAAGAAACATCTGGGTGCCAATTACCTGGTAGCGGTACGCAGGGCATGGACAGTAGTTTACACCTGGGAATAATGTGTACGGTATCCCAGAACTGCCTGTCACCTGAATTATGCAACAGAAAATACACACGTATTTGAAGATTACTAGATGAAGTGATAATGCTTCTGACTTGTATTCAAGAGGTTTTCCATGTCTTCCTCAGTCTATCCAAGCAAACGGCGAGGTAGTATCTTAAGACAGGCCATGATTGCGTCCTTTTCAATTCATTAATCACTATCATACAACTGATCAATGCTATAGTCCGAAGGGTCTCAAGTGTGCACAGCATCAATAAATAAATTAGATATAAGTACTAAAAGTTACTCTATTCTGGAATATGACGCCATGTATTCTTACAAGACTGGCACATACATTTCAAAGGAATGTGCTGCCATGAGTCTCTGAAACATTAGCCATAATCTACTAGCCTATATATTGTCAGACCAGATGACAGCAATATTCAGATATTCAGTGGTGGCGCCATGAAAACTTCAAATCTCGCACATAAGTACTTATGTTCCAAAACACAAAATGTAACTCCCACTTGGAGTGCATACACAGACAGAAATAATTTATTATTGAGCCTGCACATGTGACACAGCTTACCTGCACAACATACCTGCCCCCTGTGGCACGGAGATATGTGACACAACTTGCCTCAAGGAGTTCCAAGGCTTTCTCAAAAGGCCTTCCAAACAGTGCATGAAGTGCCATGAGTGCCTCATCAGTCACTGGAACATTGAAACATAGTGGATTAAGCCAAGAAGAATGGCTGTTTCTGGAGTTCCAGTTTTCCTTAAGGGCTCTCCAGAATAATAAATCTTTTCTACAATTTGTTGTCACACCCCACAACTTTTCACTCATAATTAGGCAGTTAATTGCAGGTGTATCACCACAGCAATCCAGGCATTGAGGGCAGGTATTCTCAGAGTTCTTCCATTTCCCCTGCCAATCCTCATTCCACCAGATACTTTGTTACTCTTGTCTATCATCTCGGCTGGTACAATGGACCATTTAAAGGCCTATGTGTGAAGGGACTTGGTCCCACCCCGCATAGATGTTTCTCTTCAGAGCTATAGGAGTCAATAACCTTGATAGAGGCCTGCCTAAATACATGCATACATAAGCAGGAAAAGCATTTCCTAGCTCATATATGAGAATGTCTGAGATCTGACATTGTGACAGTGGAGAATATGAAGAATATGGTCCTGTAGGATGTGTTCCCATGTGGTTAGGTAAGATAGGAACTGTACTTCTTTTGGCTTGTTTTGGACTTCAGCCATTGTCTGGTATGTAAAAGACAAAAGACCACAACATTTTAGAGACTGGATCTGTCTCCGTCCTCGGGTGGGTAGGTTCATAGGTTGTTTTCTACAGACCAGGGTTTGTCCAGTGACTGAGACTATCTCTTTCTAACAGGACCAACTGAGTAGGTTTATCCTGCCCTACCCATCTGAGGACGGAGACAGATCCAGTTTCCGAAACATTGTGGTCTTTTGTCTTTTAGATACCACACAATGGACGAAGTCCAAAACAAGCCAAAAGAAGTACAGTATACACCATCGTCAGAATCCTTCAAATACAGGAACTACTAATGTTTGAGAGAAACCTGATGTATCCAGCTTCAGGACAGTACTGTACTCATATATAGCATTATGTCCCATAAAACCACAGCTTTAAGCTATATTCTGATTAGACACAAAAACATTGCTCACAATCTCCATGTTGTTTGAAGACCTCCTCCGCTTCTTTCAGCAAGTCATTCATCACAGATGGCAAGACATGCAGCCTAATTCCTGTAACAGAAGGAAGAGAGCCCTTGCTTATTAGATCTGAGGTTCTCACAGCAATGGGACATGATTCTGTGCATCATGGTAAACAGATGTTTCGATGCAATCTGCTGACTCTGTCTTCAGAGCAGCCTTCATGCAAGACCAGGCAGTTATCACTAGACCAAGCACTGAATGTCACAGTCAAGTGGCTAAAACTCCTGCTTTATATTCAGAAGATGCTGGGTTCAAATCTTGGTCCAGAGACTCGTTATCCTGATTATGGTTTTCTTGGTTTTCCTGTTGCTCAAGGCAAATGCCAGGATAGCACCTCTACTCAGACCACAACAGCTTCCTTCTGTATCCTTCCCAATTCATTATTCATTTATCATCCAACTACAAGATGCTGTACTGCCTCACTTATGATCCTGTAGATAAATATGCCATAAATGAAGAAATATAACAACCAATTACATTTCAAGAATACTATCTTCTTGGATATAATGCCATGTAGTCCAATATGTTCCTCCGAAACGTCCGTTGACTTTCAACAGTTACAGAGTGTTATATACCAGAAGATAGTGCTCTTTGTAACCACTGCTGTGAGAACCTAAAAACTAAATTAGATTAATAGATTCAACATAAAATACAAGGCAAGATAACAGGGACCAGATTGCACCCAGAAGATGGAGAGATAAGGTGCGTCCAAATGTTGATAGCTATCTACCATACTACACAGCATTACATCCCAGATGGCCATAATCTTACAGCCACTGCAATTATTGTATTGATTTGCTTGTTAATTCTTGGATTATATAATGATACATTCAGCAGCTGCAAAGGTTCTCAAAGAAATTAAAAGGATGAAAAGGAAACTGTCATGAAATACATGCAATCTGTTTTAAGAAACTATCCCAGCAGGTATATGGGTGGGCTAAAGCTGCCATGGGACTTTTCACGGTTTTTCTTAGGTACATACACTGCTGGTACATTGAAACAAGTGATGATTGCTTCATTCCCATTACCTATCATCCTTTCAAGATTAAGTGTATATAGTTGATAGTTTTCACTAAATAATATATGAATCAACTAATCATTCCCCTAGAGCACAAAAAGGACAAAGTTGTGAAGGGTTTATAGTCCCTTTATGGTATGTTTGCAATACTGATTAAACACAGGCGAGGAGAGGGTACATAAATAATTTCACGAACACTTCTGTGTACAATATTTATAGCAAATGGATATTATGACAATGTCTTTAAAAAACTTCAAAACTGTTTTCATACTATATGAAATGACACAATCTTCCCGTAATATAAATGTCAGTGTATTTTAATTTGCACCAACTTTATTGACAGATCTGATGTCCATCAGAATGCAATTTTGTCTTGGAATGTACTGCAATATGATGATCTTAAAAATTAATAAATGCTGCAATTCCAATTGCAAATATGATGTGAAATTATACTGTTCTTTAAAATGTGGAGGAAAAAGGCAATTACATGTGATCAGATAATAAACATGTGAGTTCTTTTATCATCATTTTCATATGCTGTTCTTCCAGAGATTCCTATGTCCAGGCATTTGTCTACTTGCATCTGGGCTTTGACATGACAGTTGTGAACTTTTATGGTTGGGTTGCCCTGTGCACCTCATCAGTGTCGCATTGAGGTTAAGTGTGACAGGAAATGTCACACCAGACATGGCCTGCATTTGAATGCAAGAGGAAAGGAGTACATAGCCAAACAGTTAGTGACGTTTATAAAAGTGCAACCAAATAGAATGGAACAGACTGTTTTACCCTTACATTGGAAGAAGACTCAGAGGCAGGATGGGATAAAGACAAGTAGGGAACCCACTAATTCTGGAAAACATCTAGCAATCTCTTCTGGGGAGGCAGATAAACAGCAGGGAAAGACACCCACTACGTTGCCAAGCAAGCGACAAAGAAGACCACCAGCAAGTAGATATGATGATTTTTTATGGTAACGACATCTAACCAAAGTAGCTGGGATGAGTCACAAAGTAACTTTAAACTTATTCAGACTAACCATAATACATTAAATGTATTTCACCAAAACATAAGAGGACTGCAACACAAAATCGATGAATTAACTTGTATGCTGCACAGTTTTGATTTAAGTCCGCACATTATTTGTATTACAGAGCATTATTTAGTTGAGCCGAAATTATTGATGATAAAACCTGAGAATTACTACCTGGCCTCCAATTTTTCACGTCAACTCAATACTGGAGGTGGTGTATGCATCTATTGTAAATCAGATTTGACATGTAATGTAGTGGACATTTCCAAATATTGTATAGAAAAGGTTATAGAGGCCTGTGCAATACAGATGAAAACTGGTAATATTACCTTTATATTTTTATGTATTTATAGATCTCCCAGTGGTGATATACAAGTATTTATTAATCAACTGGAAGTAATTATGAAGCTCTTATACAAGCCAAAGCTTGAAATTATACTGTGTGGAGATTTTAATGTCAACTTTCTAAGTAACTCAAATAATGTTCACCAGGTAATCTCACTTTTGCAAACATATAACTTGTGCCATGTTGTTGACTTCCCTACAAGGATAGCTAAAGTGTCAAGTACTGCTATAGACAATATTTTTTTGGACTATAATAGATTAAATACCTTCCATGTGTGCTCTGTAAACAATGGGCTTTCTGATCATGACGCACAATATCTAGTGGTAAATAATGTTTTTGGAACTCAAATGAAAAAGAATAGACTTGTTAGGAAAAGACTATTAACCAAGTCTAGAGTCTTAAATTTTATTGACATGTTGCAAAATGAGAAATGGGACAATACCCTCAGTAACACAGATGTTAATGCTAGTTTCAATACATTCTTGAATACTTTCTTAGTTATTTTTGAATCGTGTTTTCCAATGCAATTTGTGGTAAATGCTGCATACAATAATCAGTGGATTACTAATGGTATTAGAGTGTCTTGTAGACGAAAAAAATCTCTCTTTATAATGTGCAGAGCTACTAGTCATCCTCAATTAAAAGAGTATTATACTCGATATTGTGCCATATTAAAAAGAGTCATTAGTAAAGCAAAAGAACTGTACTATAACAAATTGTTATCTGAATGTACCAACAAATCCAAGGTATCCTGGAAAATTATTAATAATGAAGTAGGTCATGCATCCAAAAAGAAGTTTATTCCATCAGAATTAAGAAGTGATAATAAAAAAATACACATCAATAAAGCAGCGGAGTCTTTTAATACATTCTTTATAAACTCAGTGGAAAAGCTAATTAGCCAGTATCCTATATATGAAGGTGTACATCCTATAATTAGAAAGAGCCTTCTTGATAAGTTTCCTGAAATAGCTAATATTCCAATTACCTTAACTGAAGTCTTAAGCACAATCTCTTCACTAAAGAATAAGACTTCCTGTGGATACGATGGGCTGTCCAATAAAATTATCAAGTTATGCGGTGAGCAGATAGCTAAACCACTCACCTATATCTATAACTTATCCTTATATACTGGAATATACCCAGATCGGCTAAAATATGCCAACATCATACCATGTTTTAAAAAGGGTGATGCATCCGAAATATCTAACTATAGGCCTATTTCTCTGTTGACAGGATTTTCCAAATTATTTGAAATATTAGTCTTTAATAGGTTAAAACAACAGTTGACAAATAATAATATTATTGTTGATGAGCAATATGGATTTAGAAATGGTGCATCGACACAAAATGCAATTTTTAACTTAACAAACTCAGTATATAAAGCATGGAATAATAAGGAACTGGTAGTAGGTATTTTTTGTGACCTTACAAGGGCATTTGATTGCGTTAACCATGACTTGTTAATTCAAAAGTTGGAACATTATGGAATTAGAGGATCCATTTTGAAATGGTTTGAATCATACTTATTTAACAGGAAGCAGAGAACTCTATTACAGACTCAAAACCTTAACACTTCTGTTTCCAGATGGTTAACTAGCAGGCATGGTGTTCCCCAGGGCTCAGTATTGGGTCCATTACTGTTTAATGTCTACATCAATGACTTTCCTAGTATCCTAAAAGGTCTAGCTCATATCATTCTTTACGCAGATGATACCACTATTATTGTTTCTTCAAAAGATATTACCACATTGAATCAAAAAATAAATCTAATAATGAATCGTATCCATAAATGGTTTCAAAATAACCAACTAGTACTTAATCTGGACAAAACGCATGTAATTAAATTTGCCACTCCTAAGGCTTTAGACTATCCACTACATATAGAATATAATGATCAAAATCTTAATATTGATGAAAATGTTAAGTTCTTGGGTATGTGCCTTGACTCTCATCTCAATTGGAAACAATATTCGATTAGTTTAATAAAAAAATTATGCATTGCAATTTACATGCTTAGAAAATTGCAACCCATTGTGAATGGACAAGTTTTACGTATCGTCTATTTTTCCCATGTTCAGGCTCAACTCAATTACGGAATTATTTTCTGGGGCTCATCTTCATCAATGAAAAGCATATTTGTGGCCCAAAAAAGAGCAATAAGAGTTTTGTTAAGGCTGGGTCCTAGAGATTCATGTAGGGAAGGCTTTAAGAAATTGGGTATACTTACAGTCCCCTGCTTATATATATATACTATGATATTGTTTGTAATTAAAAATTATAATATGTACCAAGCAAACGATAACATACATCAAATAAGTACCAGATGGCACAATAGGCTACATGTTTCTTCTGTGAGATTATCTTCCATTCAGAAGGGTGTGCATTTTACATCTATTAGAATATTTAACAACCTGCCACAAAACATATATATCTTGAAAGACAATATTAATATTTTTAAACAAAGACTAAAGGATTTTCTGGCTTCAAAAGCATTTTACTCGGTAGGTGAATATATGGCAAGTAGGTAATTTTATGCACTGTTACAGTCTGTTTTCTAAGACTATGTTCTAGCAAAGAATTGTAAGATGACTGATTTTTATACTGTTGTACCTATCAATGTTATAATTGTTGAATATTTTATTGTCTAGACCAGGTTGCACATTGCAATGTCAGTTTGGCTGTGACGAGTTCAATATCCAGTCCGGTTTCCGGACAAAGGATCTGTGAAACCATGTAGCTATGTTATGTTATGTTATGTAACATCCACTGCACTGCTGCTATCACGAGTGCCACAGCCTCATTGTCATCCTTGATGTAAAGTGGGTTCAGCACTTCATTCTTAGCAGCAGTATGTTTTGGAAACACAATACATACTCTAAGGCCTTATAAACTTCGGAGTAGCTGGTGCTGATGGAATTTTAGGGTGCGTTCTCCTTATTTCCTACTTAAATTCTAGGTTAAGGTTGGACACAGATAACCTTTACTGAGAATCATAACGAAATCTGAATTTCTAGCGTATAAAATATTGAAATAATATTCGACAATACCTTCATTTTGTTTTCGACGATTGAAATGAGGACTGGGATCGTCGATATTCATCTTTATTACCAAGTCTCCAGCTGTAGTTCTAAGATGTTGACATTTCAGCTTCTCTGATATACACGCTTATACGCATTGTTTAATACAGGCACTTATGAAATTTTGCAAAAGTCGCATTAGTACAGCAAAAACACAACTTTCTTACATGTATCACATATTCTGAGATTACGAAGGCAACAATAATATTACAATAAGTTTCGATTACTCCAAAACGTAAGAACATTCAAATGGAAATGGCGCTAAACCTACTTCTCCAAAGAGGACAATATACCAAAGTATGTAGATTATGAACTGGGTTAAACACCCATAACCACGGAATACAATTAACGCTTTTCATGATATAAATTTTGAGCAATGTTGATGTTTACTTTTATTTCTTTTTTACTCAGATCGTAATTCTACACATTGTTTTGAATAAACGTCATTCACAACAATTCATAAATTCATGCAACAATGAAAACTCAGATCTCAGGTTCTTTTTTCTTGGGGTGGTGTGAGACGACCACTATTCGCCCTATTGTATCAGCCCTGGACGATAAATGATGAGTATGGACAGTCGCGCAGAATGAGAATTGTCAGGTAAAATCGAAGTAGTCCGAGAAAACCTGCCTTAGTGCCACTTTGTCCACCACAAATCCCACATGACCTGATCTGGGCTCGAACCCCAGCCTTTGTTATGGGAAGCTGGCGACTAACCTCCTGAACTTCAACACTGCCTTCAAGCTATTTTACCAGATACTAAGGAATTATTAGGCATTCATAGTGTACCTTCATAAACAAGATTACAGCCACATTATCACCTGCCTGACAGTTCTGAATAAAAGGCCACTTGTGTGACATTGATACCTAAATGATGACAAGCTGATAATATTGAAAAAATTTTAAGGAAATTATGGTGTGGGCATGTGGACTATATTTAACTTGCTCTAGCCCGTGCCTTGTAGTGGGCTCCTGTGAACGAAATAATGCACCTTCAAGTTCCATACAAAAGCAGTAAAAGAGGGACAATTTCTGACAAGCTGAACAATTATGAAATTACCTGGGAAAACTCTGCGACATGGAACTAATTACATGTGATGTCGATTGGAACTTTTATTATGCGATGACAATATTTCAGAATTCATAAAAATGATTTATGTATGAGGATTGAAATGATGTATTTCAGCATCTTACAAATGAGGACTTCGGAATGTGACATCCAGTCGATAAACACAATGATCAACATAGGACCAGAAGCTGGAGTGTAGGAGTTTTCTCCACAGTGTCCACTGAGATGGATCTGTGATAAATCAGAGATTAGCTGAATACCATTTTTGCAATCATGCAATTATTAAGCTTCATAAGAAGTGATCAGTAGAGAGTCAATACAAGTTTGTAAATTTATTTGATTGTAATTCTCTGTTAATTAAAAATATATATATAAGATCTTCGAGGACCTTTCTTGTGTACTATTTCCTAATTAATAAAACATTTTATTCAGCAAATCGACACTGCATTCTTCTTAAGAAACCACAATCCAGCATTTTAATTTTACAAACATTTGGAATTCAACATAGTAGGTATCACTAACATCTTCTCTACATCATGTTCCTAGCGCATGGCATGTGACAGGCTGAAACATTGTGTAGCCTCTCAATGTTATGATTGTGATTTGCTGCTCCCCTTCTGGGTAGACTGCCTCATCTTCAGACTCGAAAAGTTTCTCCTGCTCTGCACACCTAAGCATGACAGACAGGCTGTCCAGAAGCAAAGTCACACAATAATATGTTAAGTAATTAAATCTACTGAGGTTAGTATGGAAGTTATGCATTGACAGTTAAGAGTACAGTTTGTTAAATGTGAAGCCAGATACTTTGGTAGATAGGTATGAACTTCTCAAATAAACTTGCTATCTCTGTAATTTTCATTTTGTGCATCCTGCTGTGTTACAATATATACAACTTATTTAGTGGGCCGTCACAACACAACAATCAAAGAACTTCAGGGACAACGCCCAGATACAGTTCACTACATGTTTCGGCCACTAGTGGCCATCTTCAGGTGAATACACTTCAATAAACATACACCACTGAACTGCAGCACTTAAAAGTCCGATACAATATCGTGAATCATTTAAGACACTTAAATAAGAATATAAAATATAGGTTATTCAAAACCAATAAAAGTCTTATATAAAAACAAAATTAAAACCTGATTGATGTTTTATAGCATCAAATCTGTCGTTGGTTCTACCTCACATACGTATCCGTCGACAAATAGCAAATTACAATGTATCTGGGTGCTGTCCCTAAGTTCTTTGATTGTTGTGTTGTGATGGCCCAATAAATAAGTTGTATATATTGCTACCTCTGTCTTCTAGTCTGAAATATGAGGCAACAGATTCATTTGAAGTGTTGGTATGAATCCACTAAATTACATGGGGTATACTCCAAAAGACCATAATTTTAATATTCACTGCTGTGATCTCAGTTATGTAGTCACTGAGACCAAGAAGAATACAGTGTACTATGACGTTACTTACTTACCTTTGGAACTACAAGGGATCAGATTGCTATGAATGTAGTGAGGCAAATTTAGATTCTTGCGTACCTCTTTGCCTATCATTCAGGTATATATACATTATAAAGATCTGTGAAATGTATACCTTGGCACTAGATGGAACTGAGTGGTCAGCTTCACACTCCAGCCAACTTTACTCTGAGGAATGATATGCCAGTATCCACTGTAGAGAGCCTGAGTGAGGATCAGAGCTGATCTGAAGATAGTGATTAAATAGTACCTACCTATACAAGAAAATGAATCCTAGCCATGCAATCAAATGTGTTTATGTTGTAAGACAAAATAATTTGAAGCATATACTGCTATACTGCAATCAAAGCATTTGTTGCCATGGCTTCACAAAACTACACAACCTCCCCATATGTAATACATTGGCCAGTGTAGGGGGAAAATAGCAGTAAAGTAAAAAGGTGAATGTACAAGTGTATTACCTGGTGATGGCCACAAAGGGCCGAAACACACTGTAATGTAGTGTACTACTGTGGGGACTGAACATATGAGATTCAAGGTTCTCCTGGCAATGATTGAGAAGAGTTCTATAGTTTGGGATGCAATGCCAAATAGAAGCTCACTGACAATTTAGAAGAACACACTGCTGGCATCTTCAAGGTCAAAAAGTAAGCTAAACAAGCAAGCAAAGTAAGGTGTTTGCTGCTTTGCTTGCTCTCTGACTCTGAACTGTTGGTACACTTCTACCAGACTACAATACATAACATCTTCTCAGTCACTGTATATTTTGATTCTTCCAAGTTTTGAAAGCTGATCACGGTAGTCAAGGGGTCTAAGGCATGTATTGTCTTTGCTCCCTCGGAAGCCGGGATCGTGGATTTGAATCCCACACAAGGCATGGATGTTTGGTGCGTGTATGCATTTATTCTGTGCTTGTGTTGTCCTGCGTTTAGGTAGAGGCCTTGTGACGAGCTGATCACCCATCCAAGGAATCCTACCATCTGTAAAATGATCATGAAACTGAGAAATCAGCCCTGTGCTCCAAAATGGGAGAAAGAGGAGGAAAAAAAGTTTGGAAGCTACATGCAAAATTTGTTTGCATTTGAGTGACATCTGTACAAGGAAATGGCAACAACATCCACAGTGCCAATAGTCTGTCATTTGGTGCAGACTGTAGCACATTTCAAATCATCTGGTGACAAAACTGACAGTGACTGTGCTGATGTTGTGGTCAAGGGTTAAAGATGAGTGTGGTTATGATAATTACCTGAGCTCCATCACCTGTACAGCATGTAAACAAACATAAACACATAAACATCAGGACAGAAACACAACTGGAATGCTACATTGCAACTGCATTGACAATCTTGCACATAAAGCACTATTCAACAAACATCATACAGAAAATCCTAAACTCTGGCTGTCAGGACCAGTATGAAAGCACAGGAAGTCTATGTGGATGCTTGGGGCAGCATATAGTTTTGGGGGTAGCAAGTTTTTGGATGAAGTCTCACATTAACACTTACTGTCCATTGAAGAAGGGAAGAAGAGAGTCAAACATGTTATTTACTTGGGGTGGGAGAATATCTTGCATTGGCCCGATATCTGCTTACACGATTAGCAACAGGTGTGGAAATTCTTGCTGTCTGGGGCAGCACTGAGACTTGTGTGGCCCTGGTGAGTCACATGGTGGATGCTTTATTCCAAGTATAGAGACCCTCATACCAATTTGATGGATGGGCCCCTGGACACATTAATGGAAACAGAAATCCTACACCCATCAGGAACTGAAACTTGATCATTACTTTCTACTTTACTGATTCAGCTATCCTGACTCTTATGTTTAAACCAAAGATATTTTTAAAGCACATTAATTATAGTATATGTCAATGGTAAAAGCAAATGAGAAACAAACAGAAACAATATATATCTGTGCTACACAATTATATTGCTCTTCTAACTCACTGTATGCACGAGTTTGTGGGCACCAGCTTGTCAATAGGGACAGGGTGAAGTGTGTCAGGGTGGTCCTCCATGATGTGCTCCTGCATCACAGGCATATTTTGCTCCAGGTGGTACACCACCTTTATGAGATCACTGGTTCTGCGCTCAATTATGTCCAAATACAGCATCACATTGTGTGCTGTCACATGTATACTGTCACCTGTGATGGAAGTAGAATTTTCATGATTCAATATGAAGATCTTGAACTCCTGTGAAATTTTTCATCAGGTACATGAGCACCATGAAAAAACATGAGTGGATTTTAAATATATATAAACACTAGTGTGACATCCATTGAGAATTTGATGGGAAGTCTCATCATTTTTTACATAAGCTCCATTCCATGAACTTCTTCTGCTTTCTCCTTTATTCTTTTTGGCCTACACATTTCAAATGGTACATCAAGTGTGATGTTTAACATAATTTCCAGTGAATAACAGGCATAAATAGTCAATCATATACTGTCTCCTTTGTATAGTGTGATGCCCCAAATTTGAGATTAGAAAGAGGATGGTATTACCCAAAAGCTAGAGACTTGCGAAAAGAGTTTCGCAGTTATTGCCGTAAATTGTAAACACCGGGACTGGCAATTAGGTTAAGAATGTGAAGACTCAGCAAGTCTCTGTGTACTCTCAAAGCAAGACACTTGCCTCACTCAGGCACTAGGGTAATCGTGAGAGACCGCATACACAGCAAAAGACGCAAGGGGTCCGCCCCCAACCACCCATGAGAACCAATGAGGAGGTTATTATGAGGATTGAGGACACTGAGGGGAAGTCACCCACCCTCTTTCGTCAAGGCTGAATCAGCGAAATAAAACCATAAATTAGGGAATTGCGGGGGACTTAAAAACATGTTCTAACACAGAATACTCAGTTGTCAGCCGAAGGCGCTCTTCAACATGGGTCTGAGCAGCGGAGGCAGTGGGCCTGCATCTTGTATTACAGGTGGGTTTGTTTACGCATATTAGCCATGCTGAGTGATAATATCGTTGTTTCATAGTATTGGTGATACAGTGTGTTGAGATATTACATGTGCAATTTCCAGTGTACCCAGTGAGCCCTGAGGGTAGGATAATAGATTAGTGTAAAGGCCTACGACATTAGGCAGGCCATCAGTGATTCATAGTATATATATCAAGGTTAAGGTTAGTGTGTTGTAGTAAGATAGTATATGGGAATTGAGATATAAACATAACTCAGGGTAGTTTATGTAGAAGAGACCGTACGATAGATAGGTAATTATATATCATGTGTAATCAGAAATGTACAGGAAAAATATATAGGTTCACGAGGGGACTTGCGTGTCCTCGTTAGCAAGTCCGATAGAGAGAGAGAGAGAGAGGCTCAAGGCCTCCACCCCTGAAGGGGGGAGAACTTGAAGAAACAGAATGTGTAGTAAAGACTTTATGTAGTCAAGACTGAAGGACAGTCTTTGTAATATGTAAATAATGTAAATCATGTATATATCTAATAATGTAAATAGACAGCTAGAATAGATAGGATAGGATGTACCGGGAGTGTAATTCGTATCTAGAATCCATTTCCCACATCCGATCCCGAGCAATCCTGACCGAGCGAGGGCCGAACTGACACAGGAGCAGTGGCAGCCGAAGACGGAGATAAGAATAGACAGGGATAGGCTCCTGCCACACAGGCAGAGTACGGTAGCCTCGACAGCAACGCCCTTTTAAGATAGAATGATAAAGTGTATTAATAAGTATTTAGACGCTACCTGTAA